TCAGCATACTAGGTTCATTGACAAGTTCGATTAGGTCCACCGGGGTAAAATTGGAAATAGGATTAAAATAGCAATGATATGACACTGAATAGATCGTTGGGATTGTTAATTTAGGAGGCGTTCGGTTTGGTGAATAGGATATAAACTGATAGAGCAGATAAGATAAAATTTATCTTGTTTGTACAGTATCCATATATTTATCACACGTTCGGTTCGCCTGATAATAATTCGGATAAAAAATCAAATTACCAAATTGCCTTTTCCTCACAGCTTTCCCTTTCCTCTGATCTTCAGGCGGCAACTGGCTTGCATGCAGATCAGGCGCTCGTGTGAGCTCCGATGTTCATGCTGCTCTTTGCCCGGCAACTGGCCTGTGTCCACTCACGCTGCGCGCAGATCCACAGGCACCTATGGATCCACAGGTGTCGGCGTGAGCGCCTACAGATCTGCAGACGCACGGAGCACGTGCCTGCGGCGTGAGCACACGGAGCAGGCGCCAGGCCCCGGGCACTTGTAGATCTGTAGGCGCACGGAGCAAGAGAGGAGAGCGGCAAGTGGGCGATGGCGTGAGGAAAGGAGAGGAAAGCGGCAGGCGGCGGCGTGAAGAGAGGAGAGGAGAGCGATGGGTGGCGGCGTGAGGAGAGGAGAGGAAAGGGTTGACAGGAACAAAATTATCCAAAAGGGTTTTACACGCGTGAAAAAATTTTACATGTTCAGTACCCCAAGATAAATTGTTCACATCTACGCCGATAAGCTAGCTGCCTGAATTTTTATCACGTCCCGTTTCACGCATAACGAACGCGTGATAAGGCTGACAAGATAGGATAAATTTTATCTTATCCTACCTTCTCAACCCATCAGAACACTCCTTAGTGTATCTAAAATATCTTAAACCCCATTTGTTAGGGTGTTTGTTTGGCTGGGGTTTGGATAGGCTACAGTTAAACCCATCCCAAAAACCTATGTTTTTGTCAACACATCTCACTTATGGTTTCCACGGAGGGTATCCTAAAGGAAGTTTACCCAAAACCCTTTGGGGTGGGTTTGAGTCATTTAACGTTGTATTGACTTCGAAAAAGGAAAAACCAAAAATACAACAAATAGTTTTTAAAAGGTTGAAAAAAAAATTAATTATTTTATGTATGATTTTCAAAATTTCTATATAATTAGATAATAAAATCTGTTTTTTTTAAATAAATATGCCTCGTACGGTTATTTTAGTCAACCACTTGAGGGTTTCTATGACTTTAAAAAAAGCATGCATTGCAAAGCACTCAATGGAAGCAAGTCATCGTGGGAAAACACGAAAACTTGAGCACAAAATCCAAAAACTAATGAAAACATCCTAAAAACATCATTTGACCAAATCAACCAAAGGCAGCAACACAATGCCCCACACAAGTCAGCAACTCATCTAATTTACAAAACAGTACAACTCCGCTGAACGCAATTCGAACATACAGGTAATAAATTGGATGCAGGCAGAAATTTAAGCATGATAAAATTCCATGTATTAAATTGAAAAAATACCAGATGACGATCTGTAAAACAAAGTCGAAGAAGATTCACAAGTTTTGGAGGCGAAAACGACTCCAAGCCAATGAGAACGAGTCAAAGCTGTTGCCAAGGGAGTAGAGAAGAGCAAGATAGTTCCGAAGAGACAACAAAGATGAAGATGACTGGTGGCGTGGCAATAACCAGCAATGAGATGAGAACTGATGATGAGGACATGTTGAAAGAGAACAGGGGGGTGAGGAAGATAGGGAAGGTGCACCAAATAGAAGAGCCAAAGAGGCCTCTAGAATATGTAGTGTAAAATCTACCAACAATAATATCCATTTGTATGTTTAAAAAGCTAATAATATTAGAAAAATATTAATATTGTACATATCTGATATAAACATCGGGGCAAGAATGAGGATGGCATACTCCCCCCATCCCCATTTTTAATCTTCGAGTCCGTTTCCGTCATGACAAGCAGAAGGATCATCTTTTTCTGAAATAATCACACCAATTGCCCCATCCCAAGGCCGAGCAAAATCCACACCATTTGCCTCCCATTCTGACCGGACTTCTCAAACCATGCCACTTGCCCCCATTTTAAAGCCAACTCAAAAGATGCTTTATCCACCTGCGCGGACCAAGGCTGCAAGTGATCCAAAGTAGGGATGACATCGTAAATACAAACATGATCATAACCCGAGGGCAATTCTTGAGCAAAGACAACCGCTACCAAGTCCAAATCCATACAAACTCATTCTCCACTTGGTCAAGCTATTTACAACGTTAATGGTGTTAACAGATAGATTAATGAAGTTGCACAAAGAAGAACGGAATGGGCCCCAGCAGCAGTTGATCAAAATTGAGAACCAATTTCTTAACATTTCTCTTCCCAAAATCAAGTAGGATGCCTCAAGAGACCAACAGATAATAGCTCAACTGGTATCATTCCAGAGTGCTCATTCACATATGGCCTTTGGGCATACAAATATTGACGGTGATGAAAGGAATCCTCTGGGAGCGAACCCATCAACTTGTTGCGCATACAATATGCAAAAGATGGGGAACACTAGAGAATAAGCTAGTGCAAATGCTCTGTTTTTTTTTTTTAATGGCAATGAACAGGTCATTTTCTCTTCAGTTGACTTCATCATAAGATAATCATTCCCAACTTTCTCCCATCAATTTTCTAATATACCACTGCAAATATATGTACTTTTATCCTATGTATATAACACATGGAAATTAAGTATGAAGAGGGGATTTAATACATGAGGGAGGGAGAGACAGAGAAGAGAGAGTCCCAACAGCAGCATGAATGCAAGATGCTTCCCAAAATAAACAACTCTGAAAATCATCCACCTGGTTCCAAAGCAATGGCCACAATGCACTCATGTAAGACCCTTGCGTGGCCCAGACCCAACTTCAAGAGTGCCAACTGGTTTGTTGGACAGGCGACGTTTATATCGTTTAAGAACAGATGCCAGATTCTCTTTCCTTTGGGAAAAGCAATATCGCCAGCTGCAGTGCCTGGTCGACCTTTTCTGCAAGATATGGCAGTTTCAACATCCTTGGTCATTTCCAAAAGCTTTGCTGCAGTCGTACATTTCCCCCTGCCCTGCTTTGCAGGTGGAGGCAGACTTCCATTGGATATAGGAGGGCTTGACTTCTGTTGATGGCCTGCCGGAATATGCAGGCAGAAGCAGGGAGTCATGGGAGTTCGAGGCTTCAAAAAAGCCAGATCAATGATTCCCTATCATAGATGCATGCAGTACAGAGGAATCAATCTCATGGCCATAAAACTAGAGACGAAAACAGTGAACCAGGCAATAAGGAGGGAATGCAAAGATATTTAAGTACATCATTTAAAAAGGGTTACCAACATTAGCACTCTACTTTTGGGTGATATGCAAAAATCAGAATTAATTTAGCTAAAACAAAATGTGCAATGTTTCTTAGTATCGCTTCTCAGTTTTTAATATTCGTAAATATCAACTTCAAAGACATTAAATCAATTATCTCCTCAACAACTATTGTCAACAAGATAGACAGCATAGAGTGCAATGGTCCAACATAACAACTAGAGGTGTTCATCAAACCGAACCAAACTGAGTAAGCCAAACACAGCCACGATTTCGTTCGGTTTCATACAAGTCATGATTTGGTTTGGTTCAATTTAGACCAGATTTTCTTCTCATAATTTGGTTTGTGGCTTGACCACCAAACTGAATCATATAAACCGAACCAAACCATAAACTATGTTTAAGTTTGCAGTTCAGTCCTTCAAATTTCTTCTCCTTTCGTTCTAGTCTCTCCACTTTTTTTTTTTTGGGTGTCATTTCAGTCCCTAGTTTCCTTTCCTTTCCTTTTTTATTTTTTCTTTTCTTCTTTTAATAGTCCCTCAAGCTTCAGATTCTTTCAAATAACTATCTAATTTAGAGTATTATACACGTCAATGTTTAATTTATTGAATTTATTAATTTTTTTTTAGTGGCCATTCTTTTCAATTATCAAATTTAATTGATTCTATTACAAGTCTGCAATTATATTACAGTGGAGGGTTTGGTAGAAACTTTGATGGATTTAATTTACAAACTGTGGTTTCAAATCAAACCAAATCATGAACCGTGGTTTGGTTCGGCTCTAGAGGGTTCATGGTTTACTTTAGTTTCTAAAAATTACAAACCGTGAGATATGGTTTGGTTTGGAGTTGAGTTTCGAACCAAACCAAACCAAATCAAACCAAACTGAACACCCCAAACAACAACTCACTGTTTGCTTGACATCAGTAAATAATATCACTTTTAAGATCGATGCATAAGACAACTGTAGGAAGTAATTACTATTCACGATAGATTAACAACAAGAGCAATTGGTTTAACCATAAAATAAGACTGGGCACTTGTTGATCTATGACAGTACCCAACTATAGAAGAGTAGCATGCATTTATCGCACTCTACTCCACTTTCCAGTTCCCTACAAGTTCCACTCAATTCAAGCACAATGTGGTACAACATAAAGTGCAGGTCAAGCTAGTTATGAGAAAACCTTAAAAAGGGGGAAAAAGGGAAGAAGAAAGAATCATGCTGGCATGTCATTGAACTACAAACAGTAGCAGACAACAGGGTACTTGCAGAAACTTGTAGGTTTTTTTTTTCTTTGTTTTGGGTCAAAATGAACATGTTTGAAGACAGATGAACACCCCCGCCCCCAAAGAAAAATAAAAATAAATAAATCCAATACATACTTATTTGTACGTGTAAAATATACTTTTAGCAGCATAGATCCCAGGTAAATAAGCTCATGTTAGAGAAATCAAGGTAGAATTTCCAACTGGAAAAATGAAAATGCTGAAAGACTCCTTATAACTACAATCAGGACATTCATCTTTCAATTTAATGAACAAGGAATAAACAACATTCCTGAATGAAGGCAATATGGTATATATATCTTGGCACTACATGAAGATACCATATAATTAGTTAAACAGTGTAGAATCTTAAAATCTTACCTGAAGACGATTGAGTACATATGTATATTTTCCCCACAGCTTTGGCCTACTTTCCATAAGCAAGAGCTCAAGAATCCGGTGAATACACCACACTCCAAAGCTTATAATCAAATCCACTCTCCATATGCAGCCATCCCCACAATGGGGAACTGAGGAAAGCAGAATTTTGGCAATATCTGCCTTATCATTTTTCAGTCCAGATCCTGGCCTCCTGTCAAAAGCATACTGAGATTCACCCGTGTGAATCATTCGGTTCATCACCTGAGCTTCAGCTTCAATAAGGAATCTCTCCCTTGCAGCTGCACGATCTACGAGATCCTCATCAGCCCCATCATTCTGTCTAAACAACCAATCAGAGCCTTCCAGCTTCAAAAGCTTCATGATACATTGTCTAAAAGACTCTAGTAGATCTGCTTCCATGTCCATAATAGGATTTGAACTTTGCTTACTCTCAACTTCATTGCCAACTGTATATGATGTATCTGCCATGCCAAAGGGTTTTCAAATGGATGTCTGGACCATTGCGTTCCAACCTGTGGACTTGATTTTAACTGTAAGGATAATGGTTCTCTGTACGGTTTGGAGTGTGTGAAACTATCAAATGCTGAAGGAGTGGCCTTCAAGGCAGTACTCAAACTTGGATACAAGGATGACACATATCCAATAGAATGGTCACATTGAGGAATCCTACTGGACAAATGTGAGTCCCAATAAGGGAGAGATAGCCCAGATATGTCAGGCAAGCTATGGAATTTCTTTGTATTGTCTGGAGTACTGAGATTTCCAACATGTCCAGGAGAGCAAGGATCATTATATGACATTTCAGATTGCAAAGGTACTTTTCTAGGCAAAGCAGTGCTTGAAAAACCAGGTGGCTTCATAGTGGTTAATCCATTTTGTAGTCTTCTCCCTGAAGCAAAAGGTAGAGGATCTCGACAGTTCGGTGCACACAAAGATGGGGATTGTGAAGCCGGTACCTCTATTTGGCCATTCAAGTATTCAGAACCCTTTGCTTTAGCAATTCGATTAAGGTATGACGCAATCTGATATCCATGTACAGTGGCTGGCTGATAGTCAGTGCCATTAGAAGAAGGTGGAAGCCGCAAACTAGAATAGCGCCTCTCGCCATAGTCAAGAGCATTTTTGCTAGGATTCTGTATATATGCATCTAACAACTGCAGCGACCTGGACCACGAGGAGGATGAGCCCCTTTGGACCCCTAAGATGTCTCTATGTTACCATGTATATCCAGCAGCTTAGGAGAGTCATATACACCTGAATTCATTATAGAATCAGAGATGCGTCCATCCACAGACTGAAAATATCCTCCAGCAGTGTCCACTTTGATGAAGCAGGAGGCTTGGAATCAATCTTAAAATCTATGCCCAGCAAAACATCCAGTTTCTTGACCTTTGCCTCTTGTGTTGCTTGGCCATGTAAATCAAAGAGTTGTCCCCAGAACTCATCAAGAACTGTGGCTAATTGATACCTTGCACCACGGCCTAATCCTGCTAATCTTGAGAGACTTCCAGTATCACTCCCAGTGTCCACAGTTTTCTCTCGAACACTCCTATATGATCCAGGTCCATCTCGTGTTAAAGATGGGCTCCTCCCAGATGCCCCTCTAAATGATTCATCAGGCTCCCAAACCCCTCCACCATGATCCGTCCCAAATTGTAAATCCCCCTCCACACTCACAGTCTTTTCTACTAAGTCAGTTGGTTGTGATTTTGAGGCAATGAAGTTGACCGACTCATTGGCCAGACCTTCACTAAACACAGTTGACACTACAACTGATTCAACAGTGGTTGGAAACTCCTCCACTTGATGTTTCAAGGGACCAGGAAACGCAGCACTTGAACTGCTGTTCTCAGTAGTTGTCAAATGAAGTATGTCACCAGAATGCAGCAGCATTTCAGATAACTTCATAGCAGAATTTTTATCTGATATATCTGAATGGCTTGCCAAAGGCATTCCTGGTGTCAATTTTGGTTCTTGTTTTATTATGGATTCCGCCCTGTCAAACAGCATGGATTCCTCTCCATCAAGACCATCATACCTGGCCTGGCTGAAATCACTTTCATCTATATCCGCAAATGACTCAGGCACAGCATCGTTTATGCCCCAGTTAAATAACTTGGCATCTAATCTTAAACTAGCAGATTTCAATGGAGTGGCTGCAAGCCAGAGCATCAAACAAAATGATGTAGAACCAATGGTGAGAAGAAAAATGTAAGACACGGATGTACTACTTCCCACATTCCACCTCAAATTACTGACCCAGTCACTGTTCCCAAATATCATCTCTATGAGAAATATAATCTCCAAGCCAGCATTCCAATAAAGGTAATGAGAGATAAGAACTCTACAAACTGAGAAATCTTGTAGGTCCCCATTACTGATCTTGATGAAGCAACTCGGAAAAGGGGGATCACAGAAGATGGCAACATAAGAGCAACCAACCTGTGTAAATATTAGTAGCTGATATACACCTTCGGCTCCTGAGTTCCACACACAACACAAGGCTGGAATCACCGCAATAATTCTGATTGTTACATGATGAAGCCAACCAGGGATGTCCATCCCAAAAAAATTGTGCAGGACTGCTTGTTCACCAAGATTCCAAGTCAATGCAGTGGTTTGATTGGAAAGCAACAGTACCACTAGAAAGGCAAAAGGCACAGTTGAACTCCTGGATACCTGTGACATTGAATTTTCTGATGATGAATTCTTTAGCATGCAAACAGTTGAGGGAAAAAAGGGATGGCTATTGAAAACCCAAACCTGATCCATCAGGGAAAATGCATCCTGAAAAGTAAGCAAGATAAGACCCGTACTGTAGAACACATTTGCAGCAGCATTCATCAGAACATAATTAATCAGGAAAATACCACTGAAGATGCACAAAATGAAGACAAGATGATCATGGCACAAGCGTCCCTTGGAAACACTCACTGGCCCTAGTCCTTGCTGCAATAATACCAATTATGAAGAGTTTCATTACTTGGCTTCAAAATAGCACAGTTAGTGACATAAATATTACTCTTTGATACAACAAAAGAATAGAAGATGAGATCAACCATCAAAGGTTATAACCACAACATTAACAAAGAGCAAAGGATGAAACAAGCTTCACATGTGCCTGGTTTGGCTTTACTTGACTAGAAAGGTTAAATTATATGATTTTATATTTATTGAGCACAGGATATTAAGTTCAGATGTTTGATCAAATATTACAAGCCAAAGAATAAATTTTTGGAAGAGAAAAAGGGCAACATTTATCCTATCTCTTACTAAAATTACAAAGTTCAGGCTTTTAAGCAGCATGGTTTCATCAACCCTGAAACTTCAATAACCATCAAAAGTCAAACTGCATGGTCAAGCTGTTATACATAGATAGGGCAAAAAATTTCCCCCATCCCAATTAGGTATTAGTGATTAGGACATTTAAGGATCCTTGAAAGAAAGTAGGAGAAATGCTCAAAAAAGAAATATATATATATATAAAAAAAAATCATTTCATGGAAGTCTTCTTAATGACCTTCTAAAGAAACATTTGCAATGCAATGAAAGGAAAGCAAAAATATATATCAAATAGTTATTAAGATCTCAAGGAAAGAACATTCAAAATTTTCAATTTTTTCACCTCTTGTGACTTCAATTTTTTAACCAAAAAAAGGAAAAAAAAATAGAAAGAAAAAAAATGAAAACACATGAACACATAAGACAACACCAAACAGGACCTATAGACAGCAGATAACTAAAATTATTACATTCTCATGTAAGCGGGCCAACACATGTAATAAAGTCGGCAAAAGATTGCAAAATAGAATCTTTTCCACTAGGATATCTGGTTAAATTATGAAATGTCCACTCACCTCTCATTAAAAATCTTAAAACTTGTATAGGTGAGTAATTCTTTATTTTT